TTTTTCATAGTTTTGGCCCAGAAAACAGTCATGTGACTTATTTCAGTTCGTGTAAATTTGTCAATATTATTTGTTAATTGTATTTTCATATTTCTATCTAATTAATACTGTAAGGAAATTAACACCACATACCTTTAATGTGCTGATAACTAAGATGTGAGGAGCATTCAACAGATTTTAATGAAAAATGTGTTTCTTCGAGCACTTCCGTTACAGATTTATTTTCTAAAGTAGCTGGTTGAGGTTCTCTCTTCTCTACCTCTGTCGACGGACCATATTCATAGTATTCGGGCGCTTGCCAATATTGAGTAAATTCTGGCGCCATCTCATTCTCCGAGCTTCATACAGGGAGCCCATAATCAGGAATCTACCAAATGCATTGTAAATTTGGTCCGTATGTGGACATTTCTGTTACTGGACCATATTCAACTCGTTGAAAGGGTATTTCATATTTATAAAATTCTTGCGGAGACGCATATCCGGGCATATCCGTCAACCTTCCATATTCATCTACTTGTACAAATGGCCTGAATCCGTTTACTTTGGGCCCTTGTGCAGTTGGCGTATATTGGGACCTTTGCCTCGCATGCTAAAATATTAAGCATAAAATAATTTATAACAACAATTTCAAATGTCACGTTTATCTTTTATTTGTAATAATAACTATTCTTAAGTGTTATTTCCTTTATAATAAACACTAATTATTTGCCTTACAAAATACAAAACATAATAATATTCAGCAGCAGTAATTTATGAAGTAAGTAATTATTTTAATGTGTAAAAGTAAATGCATGTATCCAATTTATTTACAATAATTATTTCTTACTACAGAAACATTTGATAAATTGTCAAAAAATATTTTAGTTCGTATGTAAATTCCAAGCAGCCTGTATTAAAAATGTAGCCATTTATAATGTAATGTTTACAATATTGCAGAATATTTTTGAAGATATTTACTAGATTTGGAACAGTATTTGAATAAAATGTAAAGTCAAACCATCGTTATTTATTCATTTTAACTTTGTGTTTTGCTTACTTAAGAAAATGTTTCATTGTTATTGTTATTTGATAATGATTAACTGTATCTTAATTATGTTATAGATTATAATTAAATAAACTTACAGTACCTCAAAACTAAAATAATTCATGTAATTTTCATAAAGAAAATAACTTCCAAGAAAGAGATATTCACCACCCGAAAACAATCATTTTGTTCTTTTAAATATAATTAAAACTGAATTTGGTAGAAAATTACTATTTATTTTCTGTTTTTATGTTTATTGCAAACACGTTATAAAAGAGTTAATATAATTATACAATAAAAATATAGTTTAACTTACTCAGATAATTCATTTTTCATAACAAAATTCGCATTCGATAATCTCGTATCGAACAAAACGCTTCGACAATAGCCGAAAATATATTATTAATATTTATTGTTTATGCAACAATTAAACACGTGCTTACGATATGCACGTGCTAAGCATTACTTATGTCAAGCAATTTTATTTCGGGGTTTTTTTTTATGGGTAATTACAAAGAAAGACGTGGACGATTTGCTTAGGGAAATGCTTTCCGGGAAGATTTTTTACAGGAAATTTGGTCCTTATTTAGGTGTTATACGCGTGAAGAAAACTCAGAAAACCGCACGTTGCCAGTCCATCGATAATGTGTGAACCCGATCAGTGTAGAGTAAATTTGTTTAATCGACACCGGTGAAAATTTTATATTGAAAATCTCTCTCTGTATCACAGCAATTTTTCTTTTCCACATTCATTGCACCAACACAATGAGAGTTATATTCATATAAAAACATAAAAGTTTTATACTGCAGTCATCAGATTCTGTGTAATTTACTATGTAAAAAAAGGTTCTAAACTACTACATCAAAACTACAAAAGTCAAGGCTCAACAACGGTCTCTAGTTATGATTATATTTTTGAATTTTGGCACGTATCGTAGACAGCCGGATTAAGAAGCGAGCTGATCAGGCACTCGCTCGGAACGTCAGATGTTGGTGGCACCAAAATTAAGGCCGGCACGTTGGTCTTAGAGAAACTGTTCCTTCCAAAAATTATTACGTGGCATTCGAAGTATTTGCTATACTCTTTTTCGCTCCGAGAAGATGCATTGAAGGAACATAAAATAATTTATCTTCTACCGAAAGTTCTGTGACAATTACCTGCTACATACTATGTTTTACTTTTATGTTTTGTAAAGTTTCTAGAATGTTCTGATTTCTTTCTCTTTTGTCTTGCTGATTTCTTTATTAAAATCAAGTACGGAATACCTTAATCAATATCGTACTCAAGGATTTGAAAATGCTTTCGCAAGCTGAAGAATAGCAAAACTTTTAGGAACGGAGACAATATTGCAGGAAAAAAAAAACGTAAAAAGAAATTTTTTTAATTTCAAAACTGAAGACACCATCGTTGCTGTTGATGCGAAAACAAAGTTTAGAACAATGATATTCAATCTCTGAAATCATTTTAGACATATTAACATCTCTCGAAGAAAGATTTGAACAAATGAAAACTTAAGATTATGAAATAACCAGGGCTGTAGACTCGGAGTCGTGGAATTTTGGTGTTTTAGTCGGATTTTTGACGACTCCGACTCCTTTTTACTTTCCCAACTTTTTATGTATACTGTATATGTATAAAAGGAAAAGTATTGGAATCGTGTCAAATTTGACCTTCCGAGATTTTTGCAAATCTACACGTTTGTAGACCTCCCGAACCCAAAAAAATGTCAAATAAAGGGGGGAAAATTCGCGTGTGTGTTGGCGTCTAATTTGTTTAATTAATTTATTCTCTGTTCTGAGGGATATTAAATAATATCTCAGAATGGGTAAAGTTTATGAAACGAAATTTGGCACGGTAGCTTGTGTATAAAAGGTCATTAATGCTATTAAATTTTGGTTCTTAAAGGTCGACAGAGTAGAGACGTAGAAGGGGTCATGTGTCATATCTCCAGTGTGATCGGATTTAATAAATATTTTACTCCTTATTAGCGTTCTCAAAAACTCGTCTCTATCCTCAAAAGTAAGCTTTTTGTCATTTTATAATAGTACAATAAAACCCGGTTAAGATGTTCTTTCCTGAGATGTTTTTCTCCTAAGTCGTTCAAATTTCGCAGTATCATTTTTCCCATAAACAGTGGCGTCGAAAGACGTTACCGACTCAGAGGAAAAAGTTACATGGGCCTCGGGAATGATTGAAAAAAGTTGTGGAATGTCCTGGTTCCTGTGAATCCTGGCCCGGGAAATTTGACCTCATCATTCCACTCTCTGGTCGTCCTGCCCATAAGACGCTTGCTAAAACTTCCTGCATAAGATGAGATGTTTCAAACTATTCCATGAAGCAATTTTTATCCGCTTAAAACTATCGTGTCGGTGGCAAAAAGAATTTTCCTCAGAAAATGTATGCACAGGAATCCTGTAGTCTCGATAGAAGGCAACTTTTTATATTACTCATATCGAGAGTTAATATAGAAATTTATGAAGTTAATTAATTTAATAATCCAATGTCCATAAATACAAGTCGTAGCGGAATCGGTAAATTTTTACACGACTCCACAGCCCAGGATATAAGAAATAAAATAACTGTAAAGTGAGGTAAAATAAATGCTCGTTCAAACTGATAATTTTATAAGACAATATTGTATTTTTTAAATAAAAAAAAAACTTCTATCCTTCATTCGTCAGACAGGCTGAATCTTGCTTGCTATCGAGCATAATAACAGCATCCTGATCAAGATTCGTTAAGCGTGCTCTGACGTTTGGAACATTATTCAAATTAGTTCGTTTCATTCTGTTCTGTTTTTCATATAAAGAAAATGAAAGTTAAACGATTTCTTTTACGTTATTATCCACCAGGTAAATTGAAAAATTAAGTTACAAAATATGTTTTTTTTTTTTTTACTTTGAATAAAATTTCGTCATGCGGGCTCATTGAAAACAAGTGCAAACAAGGAGTTAAATTAATGTTACTTGACTAGAGCCAGTAAAAATGTTAGCTGCTGCGTTGAAGGACCCTCAGAAATTTTTCATGCTTATTCTCGTTCTTTATCACCCGGCTGTCCCTATTGTGAGCTTAGTCAAACCCATGATAGTACGCTTATAAAGGTCTTTTTCGTTTAGTGTCCTCAAGAAAGAAAAAATCAAAAACAAAAAGATATACAGTATAGTTCTTTCAATATAAATTAGCAGTTCTCAAACCATATTAATTAACCAACTTTTAAAGCAGCCTACCGCTCTGGGGAACCCGGGATCGAATCCAGACGGGATGTCGAATATGTCGGGCCCCGTCCCTCGCCACCCGGCTGTCCCATTGTGGGTCCGGCCGAACCTACAATGGGCTTGCTAAAAGAGGCCCTCTTAGTGCCCACAGGACGAAAAGAGTTTTTTTAAAAAAAAGGACCACGCCCGAAAAATTTCTGGGGATTTTTTGACCCATTTGGATCGATTCCGGGTCCTCCAGAGCGGAATGACCACTCGGCCATCGGATCATCATGATGGACGATAGAGTGTGACGATGTGCTTAACAAACACCGATTTTATGTAAATTAATATTTGTATACAGTATTTCAAATTATTATAATTAATATAATCAAATTTTAAAACCGCCACAGATAATATTTTCCATAATCTGTGACAGTTTAAAATTCTAGATTTATTTGGTGACGGTAACGTGACGAAACAGATCTTGATTGTATGTCGTCACGATGACGTGTAGACGAAGCGCGTATATTCCAAATATGGAAAATTGTAAACAATATAATAAGTTATAACAATGGTTTGAAAATAGGTAAATTTCCTTTTATGATAAAATATTGAACATTCACATTCATTTATTTAAGTTTCATTGCTCTTACATTAATTCATTAGTGATTGATTCTGCTGGTGTTTTTAAATGTTACAATATATTTGTATTTTATTTTAAATGTCAAAATTCCCATGTGACACTGATTTTTTAATATTTTAAATATAATGAAGTAAGTTTTGTGGATCTTCTGTTTTGGCATATACTATAAAAATATTACAATTGAAAGTTATTTGTCTTTAATTTTGTTATTGTTACATATTGTTCTCAAACATGAATTCAAATAAAATTAAAAATACTATATATGCCCGGTGGCAGGACTGATTGGGTGCTTGAATATATATGACCCACCAAGCAGTCAGTGAGATATAGGGCTGCAGAGCATCAGCATGATGTAAGAAAAGGTTCCTTCTCTACTGCCCCGTTAACATTAACTTTCTCTATAACCCTAACCATTTTTGCAATGAAAGAAGGGGTTGAGGTGAATTTAGATAATAGAAGGTTGGCTGGATTGGTCACGAAGGACCGCATCCTAAAACATTTGGAATGCTTAGAAATGTTTTAAGCAAGGGCACATCAATAAATTTTAAAGACCAGGTTACAGGGTACGATCGCATGGGCTTGGGAAGTGTGGTATGAGATTTCCCAAATAAAACGGTTAGCTGTATTCTCGTACACATTTATGAGTATTTTTTAACCAATTACATTGATGTATTCATTTTTAATTTTATGTTTGATTTTATAATTGTGAACGATATGCAGTTTTGCACTGATTAGAAATATACATTAGTCTGAATGTACCTGTTTAAAACAGCCAAAAATGTTAGCTTGATTTGCATTAGTATTTACTGATTAAAAAGGTTGTGAGACTGTTAGATTGTTATGAAACTTTTTGTTTTTTTGAACTGAAGATGTGAGTGATGAAGGTGCTATGGTGCAAAATCAACGTTTTGAATGAATTGATGTTTAAGTTAATATGAGGGTCATTCTAAAAGAAAAGAACATTTTGATCTGACAAGCCGTACAGTTCTCCCACCACCCTCCACTGCCGTGTCATGGACCTTCCCATGTTTTCGCACCAGTCTGATGCTAACAGCGAGCCACAATGATCGTTTACTGTTTACAGTGTGACTTTAAAATGCGTGACAAAATTAAAGATCCTGCCAAGTGTGAGGTTCATAGTTTTTGAATGCAAAAAAAGTCCGCCCTAACAATTTACAGACAGATAACTGAGATTTATGGTAATGTGATGAATGAAGCTTCAGTTCAAAACAAACAGTGGGGATTGTTGTCCAGCGGAATTGTGCTTCTTCAGGATAATGCATGTCCGCATGCTGCTGCGTTGACGAAGAACTTGCTTCAGAAGTTTAAGTGGGAAGTTTTTGAACATCCTTCTAATAGCCCTGACTAGGCTTTGAGTGATTACATCTTTTCCCAAAATTGAAGGATTTTTTAGCCAGGAATCACTATGGAAGTGACAACAAACTGAAAGAGACCATTAATGACTGGTTCAAGAACTTGGCGGTAACTGAGTGTGCAGAAGGCATAGAAAAGCTGATGATATGCTATGACAATGTTTAAATTTGTATGGCGATTATGTAGAAATATAGCTAAGGTATCATATGTGTTGTAAAATAAGTTTTGTTTCATTATCTTAAATAAAAATATTTAGAGAAACAAACATTCTTTACTTTTAGAATGACCCTCGTATTATGTAATTATTTTAATTGTATTTTTACTTTTAATTTATGGAATGCTATTAACTTACTGATTTTGCTTTGTAATGAAATATTAATTCAAATATATTGGTATCACTGACTTTTATTCTAACTGTTGAATTATATTTTCCTAAATTCTGTTGGAAATATTTGTTATATAAATATAAATGTTTTAATATTTACAGGAATTGCAGTAGAATATGATAATGCAAGTCAGCCCATCAGTAGCATAGATCTTTTGGATCTTAGATCTGAGTATTTGATAAATAGTTTTAGTTTTAAATTTTTTTTAAAATTATTTACTAAATAACAATAATATCTTGTTAATAATAATAATTAGATGTAAATATTATAATAATTTTTAAAAATATAATGCAAATGAAAAATAGCATATTGATAAATGTTCATATCTCTATTTTATTTGAAGAAAATACAGTTAAATCTTGATATCTGCATCTATATAGTGCTATCTTTGTAAAGCACCACTAAAAACTGAAAGGATCTTCCTTATAAATATTAAATAGAAAACCCTTAGTATCTCTGAATTACTAAATACAGTGGGTGATCGGTTAAGGAACAAATCGAATAACGAACACTTTTGTGAAAGATTTTTATGATCGGACAACGAACTCTTCATTGAACAAACATAAAAAGAAGTGATGGAAAATAACGAATACATATTGATTTTCCCTTGTCTTCAGGTAACAATTCAAAACCTTTCAGAGCATGGGAGACGTCAACATTGATGCTCAGTCTGATACTGATCAGATAGTGTTTCTCCAAACTTTGAAACTCTCCATTGTAATTCCAGCTTTTTGTTTACTTTTCTTACAATTTTTTTATAGTCTTTGCGAGACTGTTGGGCACTCCATAAGTTTTGCATTGATTTTTATTTTCTAAAGGTGAAAGTTTAAACTGTCCTATCAGGTATTCGTTAACATTTTAACACCAAAATTTCAAATTACATTCAGGCCTCACATTTACATAATTCTTTCATACGGTAGTTGATTTCTGTTCTCTTAATTTTTGAGAGTGCTTTTTTGAAGTTTTTATTTCAAACAGAAATTGATAATATTATGGAGCATAAAAAGAGTGGAGTGTCAAGAATCATGCTCATCATAGAAACCAAGCAAAAGATAGTAGCCAAAGTAGAGAGTGGGCTGATGTTGCTAGGCAGTATGGCTTGAACATGACTACAATAGGCACAATCTTAGCTAAGAAGATTATATCTTTCTTAGCTAAGATTGTGAAAGAAGACTCAAAGAGCTAAAGGTGTAACGAAAATCACATCTGAGAAACAAAGATGTTCCATCCATGAAAAAATGGAGAGATTGCTTTTAATTTGGATAAGAAAAAGGAAAATGAAAAAAGATGTAACTAGTATGACTATCATTCAAGAGAAAGCTAAAGAAATTTTTGAAGAACTGAAGAAACAAACTCCACATTTGTCACATGAGGAGATAGAATTCAAAGCTACTACTGGATGGTTTTCAAAGTTTAGAAGGAGAATTGGCATTAAATATGTGGTAATTCATAGTGAGTCTGCTTGTACAGATAAAGAAGAAGCTGAGAAGTTCTGTCGCAAATTTGAAGAATTCATTAAAAAAGAAGGATATTGTCCACAACAAATTTTCAATTGTGATGAAATTGGTTTATTTTGGAAGCGCATGCCGAACCATACCTACCTTATGAAAGACGAGAAAAATATTCCTGGGCATAAACCCATAAAAGACCAATTGACGTTACTTTTGGGAGCTAATGCTAGCAGTGATATGAAGCTTATCCCACTTCTTGTCTATCACTCTGAGAATCCTAGAGCATTTAAAAAATATTCCATAATTAAAAAAAAATTGCCAGTGATGTGGAGATTGAATAAAATGGCATGGGTCATGCAGGCTCTTTTCAAAGAATAGCTGTTTGAAGTTTGTGCTCCAAGCATCAAGGATTACCTTCAGACCAATGAATTGCCATTAAAAGCACTGTTACTATTGGTCAATGAACCAAGACACCCAAAAGACCCTGCAGATAATTTGCTGGAAGACTTTCCCTGTCTAACAGTTCAGTTTCTACCTCCAAATACCACTTTGTTGATTCAACCAATGGATCTAGAGATTATTGCAGTTTTCAAGAAATTGTACATTCAAGCACTGTTTCGTCAGTGTTTTGAAGCATGCCAGTTCTCCTCAATGATGACATTAAAAACATTTTGGAAAGAAAAATTTGATGTTCTTGAAGCTATATGGCTCATTCAAAAGGCATGGTCAGAAGTCACTCAATGACAGTTGAATTCTGGTTGGCAAAAGCTGTATTGCTCCTGCATTCAGGGAGAGAGAGATGATGTCCCTGAAATTATGGATGAAATTGTGACAACTGCTAGAGATCTGGAATTGGAAGTGAATAAAGATGACATTGAAGAGCTCATAATGGAATCTGAAACTGATCTGATGACAGAAGAATTCCAAGAATGCTTAAATGAAGAACACCAAGAAATTCAGCGAGATGTGTTTTCTTCTGAAAAGAGGAGGATGAAAAAGGATCAATGCCAACATCTGCTATTAAAGATCTTTTGAAGAAGTAGGAGGATCTTAGAATAGCAACCAAACCAAGTTGAGGTTAATAGGCTTGGGGATCTCTACAATGACAATGCTATTAATTACTTCCAAAAAATTATGAAGAGAGAAAAGCAATCGACATTGGACAGATTCTTTAACCCCTACAAACAGTAAAAACATGACATAAAAACAATTCCCATAAAAACCTGTGGTAAATTGATAATTGATTAATGAACAATTTGGATAATGAACAAAGTCTTGGAACGGATTATGTTCTTTAACCGTTCACCCACTGTATATAATTTTATATTGCAAGTGATGCTATTATCATGTGCTAAATAGCCCTTTAGTAGCATAGCTGATTTGAAAGTCACATGCTAAATATAGCATGTGACTTTCAAACTCTCAAATTCAAATACATATATAGATCTCATTACTCTATATATTGTTTATGATACTTTAGGTTAATGTAAAGTGACCAGACATCCCACAATAGGCAGGACTGTCTTGCATTTAAGTTGTTAATCCCACATTGAAAATTGTCTCACATGGGACAATGCACATGGGAAAATGAAATATGCCTCTCCAACTCTTTTAAAGTGACAGAAGGTTGCTGTTTCATTTTTTTTGATACTACAAGGATAATCCCAAAAGTAAGATCTCCTATTTTTTTAGAAATACAAAGAAACGTTTATTTTTAGTAATGTTTACATCATTTTAAAGCTTGAACATTTATCTATTTTCTACATAATCGCCTTTTCGATCGATGCATTTTTGTAGGTGTTGTGGCAGTTTTTGTATGCCCATGTCATACCAGCTTGCCGCCATGTCATGGGACCCATTTTGCACACACTTTCCAATATTACAACTTTTCCATTAAAATCCTATGAATGAAAACCTCAAGAACCAAAATGCAGTTATCGTCCAGAGTAATCCGCTGATTTTCACGCATGGTTTGCTCAACCTTTGTGACTGTCTTGTCAAAAATTGACAGTCTCCCGCTTCTTCCTTCGTCATGAATTTCAGTACAATTAGCTATAAACTCTCTACACCACTTGCGGATGTTTTTGACATCCATGCACAAATTGTCATACACTTCCATCAATTGGTGATGAATTTCACTTGGTTTAACGTAACATGGCGGCAAGCTGGTATGACATGGGCATACAAAAACTGCCACTGTGCCTACAAAAATTCATTGATCAAAATGGCAATTATGTAGAAAAATAGATAAATGTTCAAGCTTTAAAATGATGTAAACATTATTGAAAATAAATGTTTCTTTGTATTTTTTAAAAAAATAAAAGACCTTACTTTTGGGATTACCCTCGTAGATGGCACTAGTCTCTCTTACTTTAGTTTTACTTGTCATTTTTGAGAACCTAACCTACTCATTTATTGTTTTTAGTGTTTAAGTTTGTTGTTTTAAAACAAAAGTACATATTTCTTTTTATAATATTACTTAGAATATAAATTTTCATTTAAAAAAACTAATTTTAGATATCATGTCAAAGAAATAATGTACAGTACATTTACAGAAGAATTACAAAATGAATTTCCTTTTTTGAAAAAGAGCAAAATTGAGAACAGTGTTCACTATGAGGTGTGTAACAGTGACTTTTCGATTGGTTCAGGAGGGGTAAAAATGACATTACAAGACATATCTCGTCAGATAAACAGAATGTTCATTACTTGCTGTGGCGTCTTCAACAAAATTAAATACTTATTTTTGAAAAGTTGAATTTGTTTCAAAAGAGGAATAATTAGCAATAGCCAAAGCAGTCTTTGCATTTCATACTATAATTCATAATCAAACATTTCGTTCAATGGACTGTATGTCTAAACTTATTCGCACATTATTTGAACCAAAGTTTACTTGTGCTTGGACAAAACTGAAGTGATTATAAAACATATATTTGCACCCTATGCGCTGGATCAGGTTTTGAAAACTTTGAATAATACCAAGTTTGTAACAATATTTATGGATGCATCAAACCATAAGGAAATCAAATTATTTCCATCATTAATTTATTTTTTTATTATAAACAAGGTGTACAAATAAAACTTTTAGATTTTTTTATCACTTCCAGGAGAAAATTCCAAAATAATTTCTAATTCAATTATTGGAATATTAAAGAAAAATAATTTAGAGAGTAAAGTTGTAGCAGTTTGTGCTGATAATGCAAATGTAAATTTTGGTGGACTGCTAAGAAAAGGAACAAATAATGTATATCTTAAGCTAAAGGATCATCTTCAGAAGCCAAATATTGGTATAGGATGTGTTGCACATATAGTGCATAATACTCTTCAGTCAGTAGCAGATCAAGTTTTATTGACATTGAGGGCATCATAATCAAAATTTATAGTCATTTTTATATATTTATTATAAGGGTGAAGTTATTAAAAGACTTTTGTGAGAATGCAGAGGTGGAATATATGCACTTGTTGGGATATTGTGAAACTAGATGGCTAGCATTGATGCCTGCATTTGAAAGAGTTTTAAAACTGTATTTTTTTTTTAAATCATATTTTTTATCTATTGACAATTGTATAAGAGTTTTGCAAAATTTTTTTGAATATGATAGCTCAAACACATGGTTGTATTTCATGCATAATCAAGCAGCATTTTTCTATAATATTGTGACAAGTATTGAAGGCAATAATATTACAATTATGGAATCTATTACAGAAATAGAAAATTCAAAATTTAAATTAAAAGAAAGAATGGACATGCAGTATCTACCACTGACTCTATGCAATCAATTAAGAAATTTGGAAGAAAATGGTTTAGACACAGTTATAAATCAACTTTATTTAAACCTAGTATCGACAATTTTTATCAAAACTGTGTTTATCCCACTTTGAAGACATTGATTTTTTAAGTGGATCAGTCTTAAAAATGATTTTAATTGGCAAACTGTACAGAAAAGTTTTGATTACATTTCAAAATTTTGTGATAAAATCTATTTATTTGATGTTGATAAAAGCAGAACTTTTTGATGAGATATCATATACAAAAAAATATATGGCTAGTATGAAAATAAACACTTGGAATGAGCAAAAAACAGCAACTGATGTGGTATACACAGAAATATTTAATCATTTTGACAGGAACAAAAAATCTTTCAAGAATATTTAAAAAATGATTAAATTTGCATTGTACTTGCCAGACGTCAATGCTGCTACTGAACAATTTTTTTTGGGAATGAATAAGATTTGGGCCACAGAAAAAGCACAGTTGGGCCTAGAAATTTTGAAAGCAATATTGCCAGTTAAGTGCAACTTTTCCATTTGCTGTGCAAAATTTTGTAATGACATTTCAAAAAATGAAGAACTTTTAAAAAAAATTCATAGTGCAGAAAAGTATAAATAAATAATATGATTATTTGTATATTTAAATATTTATGTAATATAATTTGTGATTATTATTCATATAGTCATTTATTTTTATATGAGAAAAGAGACTATTTTTTTGTAATTCATTAATTTTTTTGAAAATAAAAGATTTTTTTTTGATGTCTCACATTCTACACTATCATATCTGGTCACTTTAGTTTAATGCCATCCTCAATTTAGTACCAATTTCAGGGGTGAACAAATGATGTTGATAAATTGAAGTTTTAATGTATAATAATCTATTCAACAAGAAATATTTCTAATAATATTACTCTTCTTTCTCTATTTAAGTGCTCTTCTATAATACATTAAAAGCTCACTATAACAGACCACCACAGGAACAAAGCAATTGGTCCTTCATAATGAGTCTGTTTTATTGTGATTATTGTGGGGTCCCAGACGAGGTTCGAACTCGAGTAAACCGTGAAATTCTTGCGCGGCACAAAATGTAAACAACGAGACTCGGAATGGTTCGAGTATGTGTCAACTATCTGTTAAGGTCTTAGCGGAAGACAAACTCTAACACGAGCACTCATAAACAGGTAGATCTTTGACTCGCATGTCTATAAAATGTTGGCCGAGATAAACCTTTTCGAACAAAAAAATAGAGGAATTTTTGATAGGTGAAAGGTGAAAATGATCGTTAAATTCTTAGACGTCAAAAATGGTAAATAACGGCCTGAGTTATGAGTGCAGGTGTTATTATTTTATAAACAGTCATCGAGCAGAGTCGACAAAGAGGTATCAGATGGACACCTCAAATCGGACCTTTCCCGCGACCCGAAAAAGTTTCATCTTGCACCTGGAGACAAAGGAGAGACCAATCGGGAAGCGAGGAATGGGATGAGGGACCAATCCGAAATGCGAACAGTGGGGGAAAAACTATAAAAATCGGAACTTCAAGGTCGAAGAAGAGTCTCCTCTGGATTAAGCCTACAGTGGTGATTTAAATTGTGTTGTGCATCCGCCGATCACTGAGGACGCCGCAACGTAACAACGAACTTCTGCTTCGTCCAGATATCTTTCTCGTCCGCCCGAACTGCGACCCATCACACGAACTTTCGCTTTTCCCAGGAGCACCGAGATTTTGGAATTGTCCTATATTGATGTAAGCATTAATTCGAACAAATAAACGGGTTTTATCTTGTAAAACACTTGTACATCGTTTGCCTCCTTCGCCACCGCCCACATACGTGGTTTCCCTTAGGCTCATTCTGACGTGAGATAGACTTTTTCCCCCTCAACGTTGGCAAAACTTACATTATTATGGACTTATCTGTTATATTGAAAAGTTCGTTACTATACAGTAGAATCGTGTTAGAACAGATCTTGATAATGGACCTAGAGAAAACATATGCAGTTTGCACATTTTCTCCAGGTTTAGATGTCAAATCAATGTATTCTTTCCTTATTTCAGCAGATTGTAACCACAAATACAAGTATAAGCAGACTCTACCTTATACAGAAATATTGACTTCTCCATTACTGTATATTGATGCTGTGGACAGCAGTCAAATACATAGTGGACAAAGTTTCAGTTGTAAAGCATATAAATTAGATTTTTATTAAACTTGTAAAAACAATACTTTTATTCATTGTTTATTTACTTTTTTGAAATATGTTTAAGAATTGGGTAGTTAGCATAAAAGCAATAATTATTTTATAAATAAGATGACAATAATTTTCATTATGTTATTGAGATTTTCATTGGACATATAATAGTTTTATTTATGCATAAAAATAGATGATATTGCAAGAATTTAATGTAAAGAATCTACAAACAGGGCTATTTTTTAAGCACTTTTGAGGTCAATTTCTTTAAAGGTACAATAGAAAATCAAATATAGAACAAAAGTGTTAATAATGAGCAGTGAGCTTAAACCTTAAGATGAGGCCCCAAAATGGCTAGATATGGCCATGCATTAATATAGCTCTGTTATCAGATAACATAGTCATAAAATTAGCATGATTACTTTGGCCAGATTGAAACTTGTTGAACTGAAATCATGAAAATACAGTTGAAGAAGTTGTAAAATTTATTGTTATGACCATATTCAGAGGAGAATTTTTAAAATTTTAAATTTGGTATTGATATAGCATTTAATACTTTTATATAAGTTTATATTATGAACCATTTTAATAATAATTTTGAAGGATTTGGAAATATGATATTATATTTCTTTAGTTCTGATACAAACTCTGTTGTTGAAGATATTTTGCAACAGAAGCCACATATTAATTTCTATTTGAAGAATCAACTTTGTACATTAATAAGAAGTATCCTTTGTTCTCTGTTGGCTTTATGACTATAATCTTATATACAATAAATCGGGATGACTTTGTGAAACTTTTCAAGTTTTTTTAATGTTAATTACTGAATTACTGGACCAAATAAATTGTTAGCTGTCATTTTAAGAAGATTTAACATTCCACTTTCTTTACACATATTAGAGTTCTTAATTTTTAATTTATTGTTTAAACAATATTATTAAAAAGATTTGTCACAATTTTACTTCATTACTTGGAGTAATCTTTCATGTATCTTAGATACAATAAATTTTGAAATGGATATAAACTTGTCATATTCAAAATAAGTCATACTAATGTAATGTCACAAAGTTTCCCTTGCAGTCAAAAATAACTCTGGTTTGTGTTAACTACATATATTTATAATTTATTATCATAACACACTGCTTTATTTGGAAACACCTTGCAAATACATTGTTTCCTTTAAAACAAGTGATTTTAGAGCTGTGCTCCATCCTTAAAGTTTTTATCAGTCATTAAATACCAAATTATTTACATTAAACCCCCTTTTTTTCTCTTGATTCCAAAATTGGACATATAAAAAGATTTTGGAAATAATGATAATTAAGTGAAAAAGCAGGGATTTTATGTAAAAAATTAGGTATTTTGTGGATAATGAACTCTGTGGATGGAGCACAGCTCTGATAGTGCTTAGTTTATAAGAAACAATGCATTTGGGAGTGTCTTCCTGAATAAAGCAGTATACAGTAGAGCGTCGATTATCCGAATCAATTGGGGACTGGGTTTGTTCGGAAAATCAATATTTCAGATAACCGATTATGTACGAAAAAATATATTAATTTATCCCATGTTGAAATTTTTCTCCATTGCATGTCACTTTGCGTTGAATTTTCGTCAATGTTAAGCCTAACGAAGACTATTGTATCGTTAAAAATTATTTTTTTATTTTGTACAAACAAAATAAATATATTGAAAAATATAAAAACAATAAAAAATTATACTTCAGAAGTTAATTTAGTATTAAAAACGTAAAATATTTGAGTAGCCCAAGACATATCCAAAGATTGCAGCGCCACAGCACTGGCGAAAATTTAAATTTGCCGACTGGAATTCTTTCGGATAATTGACATTTCGGATAATCGACGCTCTACTGTATTTATAAGAATCAGTTGAGAATTGGAGTTTTGTAGTTTTTATAATTTATAATTAATGAGCAAATATTTATTGTGATATAATCATAATGCTGGGCTGCAATTTTTACATACAGTGGTACCTTGTATAACGTACTTAATCCATTCCAGGTACACGTCCGTTAAGTGAAAAGTCCGTTATACGAAACTCATTTTCCCATAGAAATACATGTTAAAACATATAATTCATTCTGCAGCATAAAATAACCATACTGTAACATAAAAAAAATGAAAATGGAGCAGTCACCAATTATGCCGGGTAGTCAGATGTTGTGAGGAGGAGGAGGAGAAACACTTTCTTCACACATTCATACAGGTATAGACTTTTTATACATTGTAGCAGGTCTCTTTTTATTGTTTTTTAATCGGAGTCAGATTCAGGAAAGGCTACCAGAGCTTGCAGGGTCAACTCCTCTTGTTTCATCTTTTGTCTTTTGCCTACTGGCTTCTTGAAAAACATGTCCAAGGTGGTCTGTTTCTCTCTCTTCTTCAATGCCTGTCAGAAATGATGGGCAAGGGTGTCATTGTAGAGATCATTGATCCTGTTGGCCTCAGCTCTGTTTGGATAATGAGTGTTGGTAAACTCCTGAACCTCTCCCCATTTGACAAGGAA